TGTATTACTAATTATGCGTTCTGTTCCGTTTCCGAGGTACACCGTAACTGGTTAGAATTTTTGGTAGTGTACCACCTTTTCTTCGACTTAAGTTTGTGTTCGGGTGCGACTTTGTAAAATTATATTTTACCTATGCATTATAGATTTGTGTTTCAATGTCGCAAGTCCCACAACAAATTACGATTTTTAACAACTGTAATTTTTGACCTATGTTTTATTTTTTTTCTTAAAACTCCTAAACTTTTTATGAAAAATGAACAAATAAACATATATTTTTTTAATATTAAAACCTTGTATATTTACCTTTTATTTTATATAAAATTTATGAATATCTAACCTTTTAAAATTAAACACTCTAAATATTTGCATCGAGGCGTTTTTTATGATAGTGATTTTAATCACTGCCAGAAATCATTATACTTGACCCAACTATGCCACATCCACACTGTGCCGCGGCTCCACTGTGCTACCGTTTTTGTTTGTATATTTTTACTATGTGTTATTTTTTTTTATATCTGTCTAACGTTTTCCTAATCTCACACTTGACCAATTTTTTTCTACGATAAGTCAAAAGATCATAATTTGTATCTAATTTTACAATAAAATACTGAAACTTTTATATATATCTTAAAATAAAACGTATGTAATACACTTTAATATGAAAAAAAAAATTCTGAACTTTAGTTTGTCTTCATGGTGAAAATGGCTACCGTATTCAAAAACATGTTATTTTTGTGTTAAAATTCTCGGTTTTGTATTTTATTTTATTTTAAAATAACTTATAAGGAAAGTACACTTATTTTCATAAATATTATATAAATTTTTCGCCTAGCTGTGGCTCCACCTCAGACCTGGAGCCTTACGACCCTCACGCGCCATTGGCTCGTAGAAGATCTCTTTTGCCCTTCCTCATAAGTAGGCCACTGATTCTTGTAGGAGTGACCGGCTTAGCCGGTTACGATAAGTGTTTTACAGGGAAAATATTACTTTAGAATCAATGTAACAAAAATATATTAAAAATTTAATTATTAAAATGAGGAAAATTCAAAAAAAGAAAATAGTAAAAAGTATTGGGTATAAGGTTGACGTTTGTTATTGAGGTATTCCCCTTCCATTTAATTAATGCCAATAATTATAATAATAATGCTAATTATTCGCAGTTTCAACCTACACATGAAATTGAATCATTGAAATTATTTAAAAAAATAATATATTTCGTTGACGTAATCTAATGCTCGCATTTATGAAATAAAAATGTTATTTACACAGCTGATTTAAACAAACAAAAAAATGAATAAGTAAATGCTTTATAATTATATTTTACAGTTAGTTGAAAAAAATTTTAAATGTAACTTAAAAACTAAATTATTAGAAAAATCATAATATGCTTTATTATATTATAACATACAATACTTCCAATTAGATCAAATTACTATAAGGTGGACGTTTGTTATTGAGGTATTCCTTTTGGCCGTATTCAAAAAATATTTTAGAAGTATTTAATTTTTTTACTTTGGTAAACATGTTTAGAATATTTACTAAATATAAAAGTGATGATAAAAATAAAGGTAATTAAGGTCATATTTTTTAACAGTCGCCTAATAATAATATGGTTCAAGGAAAGCAACAACCCATTTTTGTTTTTCGCTTTTATCAGTACATTAAGGGCTATCACGGCCTCCCTCTGAGAAATAGGTTTCTTAACCAATTATAGTCCGAAATGGGTGGTTAGTCCGTCGTTGGAGAAAAGATGGCGACTCCAATTACTGAACTAATCTCTCGTTCGACAAATGAAGCCGCCCGTGATCGAGTTTCGAACTCGAGGCAGTGCGCGTCAAACAACGCCGCGTTATCGACTAGGCCATAAATATAAATTCTGCATGGACATAAAAAAAAAAGTTCAAAACGAAAACAGTACATTTGAACAGTAAGCTGATTATAAAGCCAAAATTCAAACAAAAGATATATATATATATCATTTTTTATTATAAACATATTTAAAAGAAATCAACAGAAAGTATCTTTACACTTAAGAAAATAAACATAATATATCACCGGCTCACACACCATTAACATTTATATTGTTTCTCAATAAAGACTTATTTTCTGTTTAAACAATTGATGTTGTCTTCCATATTATAACACAAGAAATTATATCATACTATCTAAATAAGTGCTTTTAATAACTATTAAATATGAATCATAAATCTTTATATATATATAAAAAAAAATTGCATTGAAAATTGTCATATTGAATCAAAATTACTGGCATGAAACTACTACGTCAATACCAAAAGTCGGTTAAATTATACTTTGCAGCTAGGCATAAATTTTACCTGGCAAAACAGTGTACTGATGAATAATGCAGTGTGCAGAATGGGGTGGTCGTATCAAAAATCTTTGATCGAAATGCTAATTCTTGTCAGAATTAATCACTGTTATACGAGATATATTCGTAGTAGAAATGAGTCCTGAAAAATTACAAAAATTACAGGAAATAGAAAAGGACGCATCTGATCTAAAATACACATATGCGAATCTAATGGACATAGTGACTACTAAGGAAGCTACTATGGGGGAAAAAAATACTTGGAAACAGCATAAATCAGAACTCAAGTATCAAAAGTAACTTCACTAAAGTAAACAGGTCAGTCGTCAACCATTGCATAAAACAAAGTGTGGAGTATGTGCGCGCTCAAATCATTTACAAAGAAACTGTAGACCCAAGGATTATAGTTGCAACATATGTAATTCAAAAATCATTTGGCTCCTGTGTGCAAGAATGGTAAGAGTTTAAGCAAAATTAATAACCGTTTGTACATTAATTTTTTAACTGAAAATTCTAATGAACACATCAGGCAGTCGCACACAATTTATCTGATACATATTTTAATTTGATAGAAACTATTTCTCAAAATAGAATTAAGCCATTTACAACTAATTTATTAATAGGGAATGTAGACGTTAAGTTTGAAATAGACACAGGATCTTTACATTGTAATTTCAAATAAAATGTATTTATAAATAAATAAAATGTAAACAAACCTGTGATCTCCTCATCCACCAAGTCTAAAAAAGAGAGGGGTAAGGAAACTTAACATTAACTAACTTAATGCAATGGGAAGGGTGGTAGGATGAAACACGACGTAAACTAATGTAACTTGTCGCGCACCCAAATCGATTATTATGCAGAAAAATAAAAATTAATTTTCGGGGGTAGGTACACGTTAACACTTGAACGTGCTTATGATGTGAGTCGAGTCCGCGTGTTGGATGTGTGCCGCACCCCCATACGCAATAGCTTACTCCACCGACCCTCGAGTACATTGCCGTATCACCTAAGTTGTTACACGACCGCCGCTGCCTACGCCTCCACCTCCGCTGATGACGACGACGATAATCACTCTAATATATTAATTAATGTTGATTTCGGCTAATTTTTTAATAAACTGTACATATAGTTATTTGTTTGGATTATTATGCGGCGGGCGGTCATATAGTATATACAAAATATCGGTTTTGTGACGAAAAAAAAAATGCATTTTCCAGGTAAGCTATACGGTTACGGTGAAAAGTACGAATTTTAAACGTCGAATCCGCTATTTTGATATGCGACATGCATATTTTTAGATAAAGTCTGTACGGAAAATGTTACACAAAAAAAATGTACACAGCATTGTTATTATCAATGATAGTAAGGTACATTGTTGTGAGTTTATAAATACACTAACTAATAATACAAAAAGTATATCAGTAGGGTAAAATAGAGAGTTCTAGGCCCCCCCACCCGCCTCACCCCTTCATCCACCCACCTGTATTGAAGATGAGCGTGGTCGGGGGGAGGGGCGTGTCACACAGTGGGCGTGGTCTCTCGATGGTAGGGGTAATGGAGGATTGCATTTATGAGGGTGGGGGTAAGGAGAAGGCGTGGTCTTATCATTGATTGGGTAAGGAGGAGGCGTGGACTTATCATTGACGGGGTAAGGAGAAGGCGTGGTCTTATCATTGATTGGGTAAGGGGAGGCGTGGTCTTATCATTGTTGGGATAAGGGGAGGCGTTGTCTTATCATACAGGTGGGAAGGGGTGGAGTGGTCTCACGATGGTGGGGGGTAATGACCGTGGTCAAGGTCAAACAATAAACGTGGTTTCTCGGTGGTGGTTGGGTAAGGGGAGGCGTGGTCTTATCAATGATGGGGTAAGGGGGTGTGTGGTCTCATCATTGATAGGGTAAGGAGAAGGCGTGGTATCACGATGGTAGGGGCAATTTGGGACTTAGGTAGGGTTGTTAAGGTAAATCAAATTGACGGTTTAAAGTGCGCATGCGCACTATAACTTCATGTCAGTGATGAGAGAGTTAGCTATATGGTTGTCTCCTCCTACGATGTCATCTACTAGAAGATAAGGTAAACCTCATGTGAACTGATGACGTACGTGTAAACATACACATTACATTGAAACAGTGTACGTCAAATAGTGGCCGCCGTTGCCACTTTAACATATTTACTTAATATTAACGCTACAAAGTCTTCGTCAACAATTCCTACAGAGGGAGGGGATAACGAAACATAACATAAACTAACCTGGATGAATCCAAGTTAAACTAACAATGTTTTCTAAGAATTTTTATCATTGCCTACCAGACGCTTAGATAAGCATATTTCCAACATCAAAGGTACCGCCATATTATAACTCACATTACCGTCTACATTTTATAAAAACAAAGACAACGTCTGTCGTTATGGCATAATAAATTCTAAGAAATTTATCATGGGTTACCAGACGCTTAGGTAAGCATATTTCCAACATCAAAGGTACCGCTATATTATAACGTTCATAGGCGTCTGCATTTTTATTTTTTACATAGTATTTTATCATTGCCTACCACCAGATGTTTAGAAAAACATCTCGTTAATATTAGTATATTACTATTAATTATATATATAATTAATATAATTACTATAATTGGTAATATATTTTAGAATCACTATGTTTAGGTTGCTATAATAGTATAATCTCTATTGGTTATTATTATTATTTTCTACTGCACCTTTAAAATAATAATATATGTATTGCATTTTATTTTATTATATTTAATTTGACAATTTTTTTATACCTATAACTAGAGGTATTACATTTAAAGTAGCACCCCCACTACCAGCAACCACGAGTCTTCACTGCGTTTAACATTAAATGTATACATTACATCGAAATAGTGTACGTCAAGTATCGGCCGCACACTTGTCCTTGACTATTACAGAAGTTATAATTAATTGAATTATACATAATAATTATAACGTCGTTATCGGTGGTTACAATCAAGTAATTGTCACCGTCGAGAACGTCCTACATACAATCGTTGGTAATAACACTTCGGCGATAACAGCTAAGTGGGTAAACCGAATTGGGCGTGAGGTGCGCACAATGGGTGAAACCCAATGAAAACTAACCTAAGTCGTTGGGAGTAGGGGATCTCCTCAACATGTCGTAATGAGCGAAGGGGTAATGAAACTTAACTTGAAACCAACCGCCATGTTATAATCCGCATTACTGTCAACATTTTACGAAAAATAATTGCTTTTTCTAAGAATTTTTATCATTGCCTACCAGACGCATAGCTAAGCATGTTTCAAACATAAAAGGTACCGCCATATCATAATCCACATTACCGTCTACATTTTATAAGAACAAAGACAACGTCTGTCGTTATGGCATAATAAATTCTAAGAAATTTATCATGGGTAACCAGACGCTTAGGTCAGCATATTTCAAACATCAAAGAGGTCGCCGCATAAAAATGTCGTATGAATNATCGTAATTGTCGTATGAATCTTATCATCGTCTACCAGACGCTTAGGTAATCATATTTCCAAAGATGTTACAATATATTAATGGTCACTGTCGTATGCATTTTATGAGAACAATGGCAACGTCTGTCGTTTTGACATTATAATTTCTCAGAATTTTATTACCGTCTACCAGACGCTTAGGTCAGCATATTTCAAACATCAAAGAGGTCGCCGCATAAAAATGTCGTATGAATCTTATCATCGGATGCCAGACGCTTAGGTCAGCATATTTCCAAAGATGTTACAANTCTAGACGCTTAGATAAGCATATTTCCGACATTGTTTGTGTAGTACCTGTTTAAACCAACCAAAACTTGTCTAAACAAGATCTTTGACCCCTATAAAAGAACGTCACATCAAGTTCAGGATCATTCACTCATTATCTTTTCCAAAGCGNTTATTTCAGACTCATTCACTCATTATCTTTTCTAAAGCGATTATACCAAAAACCATTTGTTTGATTATTTGTTGTCCTAAAGAATTTCTATGACTTTTGATATAAAATAAGTAAGTAATACATTTATATATATTTTTCATTTAAACTGTTTTCTACTGACTTTGGTTACTAGTTATGTTTAGAGTTGTTAAATATTTATTAATTTTTTATTTTAGAATGGAGCAATTAAAGAAACAGTTGAACGATCAGAGTGCATTAAAAAGATATTCAAAATTAAGTGATTTGGAGGAACACACGCCATACAAAATCATATCTATGAAAAATACAAGCACACGAAATGGGGTTGTCGTTGTTGGTTGTCTATTCAACAATATGAATGTGTTTATCCCGAGATTGAAATTAACTAATGAAGAAATCGAAGCTTACAATATCAACAATGATGATAACAAAATACATTTATTATATAGAGGCAAAAGTGGAAATGCATATTTGTTTGATTTTCAGTAATTTGTTAATATTTTGCCTTGTTTTTTAAACTTATTTATATAAAAAAATAAAAAAAACTTAGTATCATAAACTTGTAAGATTTAAAATTCAATAATATATACTATTTTTTTTATTTTATACAATTTTGTCATATTTATTTAAACTTTATGCCTTTGTGTATAATAAAAGTCTATAGTACTAAGCAGTGCAAAGAAGAGTTTTACACATTAAATAGCAAATTTACTATACGCTATGGTATTTTTAGCAGGTTGTACTATGTATGGCATGTAGTAGGCTGTTTATAAAAGTAGTAGGGACACTGTGTCGGTTTACCGAACAGCATGTCCTGGAATCGTATAATCTCGATACAACAAGTCTGAACATGTTAAAACCTGTCTGAACGCGTTCAAATCCCTGTTCATCCTGTTTGAACCCCGTCTGCTTGTGTTTACAACTGTTTGTATCATATCTAACGACGAAAATTTGACTATTAATTACTATTGGGTTTAAATTAGTTAATAACTTCACCGTGGTGTAAGCATAGCGCTCTAATCGTTATAAGATTTTCTATATAAACAGACGTTACTTTAACTTGTTGGTAATGTGTTAATATTTGTACACTTTCAGAATGGCTGGTTCTCTCGCTACAATTGCCAAATTCTATAACAAACAAACATTTGTTAAACCCCAACTTCACAGTGAATTAATCGATTGCACTGATTACGTTTTAAATTTCAATCCTCGTAAATTCGTTCAGATAGGATTGGATCCAAAAGATCGATTTAACGTAACTATTCGTTTACTATCGTCAACCCGTTACATACTTGTAACGATAGATTTCCTACAACGGATTTATACGTTGATGGGTAATATTCTGTCGCTAATTTTCGACCCTGTATCAAGACAAAAGATTATTTTACTCAAGGATGAATACGTCACACTCTCAAAGACTACGTTTCAAGGAGAGTCTTCGCTAGTCTTTGAATCACAAGCACAAGATGAATGCCGAGTGTTACTCACCCAATCAGACATTTTAAAACTCAGCGCTTTGGAATGTTGTATCTTTGAGACTATCAATCAAAAGATGACTGTAATTCAACCATTGGTTCTACAACAGTTGGAACAGATGGCTCAATATATGAAATCTCAGTATGAAGTAAATGTGGAAAACAAATGTATGTTGATCAATGCGGTTTCGGATTATACGATTAGAAATAGTTTACCCAATAGCGATCTGAGCTACATAAGCCAAATAAAACAATTTGCGAGCCAGCAGTTGGAACAACGGTGGACGATGCTGGAAGAATATACTAAAGAAATGGTGAATTACATTTTTTTTTTTCTAACTGAGTAGAACGTAATTAATAAATATCAATAATTTTTTTCAGTCTTCTAACAGAGAAAACGTATGCTCGACATTTTTTGGGTCGCTGGCCGAAGATATACAGTCGGAAACAATCATATCAAGTACAAACAACCAAGAAATACCAACAGTAGTTGTTAGTAATAGCTATCCGTCATAAAACGACAAGTATCTAAAACATGTATATAATTTATAAAAAAAAAAAAAAAANCAACAAGTATTGACAAAATAGTGCTGTTATTATTATATACTGAGACATAGTGAAAATCTCGTTTTTAACGTAACTCGTAATTAAAATTATAATGGATACAAAGACTATAAATACGTTTAAATAATAATGTTTAAAATAATGATTATTATCTAGGATTTTATTTCTATCATATGAAAAAAACTATGTTTCTATAAAACTCAAATCATTTTTCTTCTTGCATATAAAATACAGTAGGGTATTCTTAGAGTTTTGGTGGATAATGCCTTATCATTAGATGTGACATCTCATTACGTAACTATAGTTTAAATACTATGGCATCTTACACGTACAACTATTGTACCGTACAGTAGAGAAAAAAAAACGTTGTAGTATATATATATATATTTACAGATATGTACACGCATATACATATATTTTTTTAGAAAAAATACAATTTCTTACTACATTATGTTACATTAAAAAAATGTTTTAAAACTACTTATATACATGTATATTTACAAAAAAAATCTTCAATTATTGACGATATTTTTTTTTACAATGATAAGAATTATAGGTCTTCCGGTGGTGGTATAGCATAATGCCCGTGGGCAAACGTGTCGATTCTGTTGTTGAGCGTGTAGCGCTTATCATNGGTATAGCATAATGCCCGTGGGCCAACGTGTCGATTCTGTTGTTGAGCGTGTAGCGCTTATCATCAAAACGGTTAAGCGCCAACTTGGTTGTACGTAAAGTCCGTACCTCGTGCTCAAACGAACGGATTGACACGTTCTGTCGGTACGGAGTGTATGGTAGCGATAATGTCGGTGGACACTCACCACCACGTATCACTCCGATGACCGCACGGGCATTCTCTCCAGCCATTGCTCGTTTTGACGCATCGTCACCATCGTCTTTAAACAAACACCGTTTGTAGTCGTCCAAAGACAGATGGTTCCGGACGACGTGTCCGCGGATCCCCTTAGACTTTATGAGTTCGCTGCCTTCCATGTCAAATGCGTAGCACTTTGATCGAAGTGCAGCGATCTCAAAGAGAGTGAGGCCACTGGTCTCGTCTGAAAACAAGCCGGGCATCTTCTTTCTATCTGTGGAGTAGCAAGGGTGATCCTTGGGCAGGCTAGATGCGTCCACGTGCACCAGTAAATCGGGGCTATCAGCTAAATCCTGGTAGAAGTCGCCTACTCTGAGCAGGTATATNTAAATCGCCTACTCTGAGGAGGTATATGAAGGAGTCTGAGAAAAATTAAAAATATATAAATATTGTAAAAAAATATTTCTACTGTACGGTTGTACTCACCAGTATTCATGTAAACCAATTCTACTGCGTTGCCATAATGTGGTTTCAATACGTCGTAGAAGTACTTGTACATTAGCGTCTTGCTAATGTCAAGCACTGCTAAACCGACGTATATTGGTTTGATAAACTTGACCATCTTTGTGTCCATTATGACGGCGCACAACCTTTCACCGTATTTGATACAGTCGTTGAAGGTTGGTTGGTTTACGAGCTTGCTTAGACGTTCGGGACTGGAGATTAGCTCAATACGGATGCGTTTCCGCATGTTCTCCATTGTTTTCCCTATAAAATGTAAAAAATTATCGAATAACCCACTTTAGCATTGAGCATGCACTTACCAAAGACGGCATTGTTCATTAGTTTGAAAAATGCAATTTCAAAAGCATTTGCCGCCTTTTTCCGCATTTCAGTGTTCAACTCAATGTATGGTTTCAACCAAGCACTTTGTTGAAACTCTAAAACGCGGTGCACCTGCAGTACAAATATTTATATTAGTATCATCGCTTATAGTTTATAGGTTAACTATACATACTTTATCGACTTGCAGTCCGTGTGCGATCGCCTGTTTAAGATTAACGTAATGTACGACGTACCGCTGTTTGGGTTTCAAAGTGGCCATGAGTTTGGTCTCTTTGGAANGTATAATGTACGACGTACCGCTGTTTGGGTTTCAAAGTGGCCATGAGTTTGGTCTCTTTGTAACCCGGCGGTACATCGTTGACAGGCAAGAACGGCAAGTCGTTGTGCTCGTCATGCAGCTCTTGTGGATACGATACGTCCACTTCATATATACGCCCCGTATTACCAGTGTCCGACAACGATTGGAGGTCAGCCAGAGGGTCTGCTCCTTTATACCACCGGAAGCCACCGTACGGCATGGGCTGACTCATAGCCCACCCGTAAAGGTTATTGCCTGTAAACATTAAACGTTATTAAACCACCGCTCAAATATTGCGCGTTTATATATATACGTATAGATTACTTNACGTTTATATATATATACGTATAGATTACTTACAGTCTTGGTACACGATCCATGATTCTGGTTTTGACGGATCGTAATCGGGTGTCTTAGAATTGTTGGCCTTTGCATAGTGCTTGACGGCCTGCACTAGCCCACCACGAATGCCCTGTTCCACCATCAGTAGCATGTCGTAGTCGTTCAAGAGCTCCAGCTTCATCCTGGTGTATTTCAACATACAATCGAAGCTAAAACCAGGCGCGGTGTAATAGTGCGCCGGGTCCAAATTGTATGTTGAAATACAGATGTCGCGGAAGTTCTCAAACACATCAGCCAACAACAACACGTCGATCTTAAGATATAGGTCGCTGTACTCACCGAGGGTTGAGCAGTCGAAACGGTTCCACACCTCCGTGGCATGTCTATAGTCGTCGTCATCAATATTAGACTCACTCAACTGACTATAGAAAGCGTCCTGAGGTGGTAGTTCCGTTTCTTCCAATTTAGCCCAACTATCAGTGTACTCGTAGGGGTATACGCCCTTACGCGTCACCAACGGCATGTCTTCCGGGCGGAACACCTTGGCCGTCTCCCGGAATTTAACAAAGTCGGGCGTCATTAGGTTACCGGCCAAGGTGGACAGGGAGGAGGCCATGAACCGGAAGGTATCGACGAACC